TAAAGTGATCGTATTCACTGTTATACGAGCGGCTGCCCTTAAAATTGCTATAACTCAAAAACTATTTCAGATATCGATTTGAAATTTTAATATGTTATTTTTAAAGGTGTAATCTACCGAAATTTGAAAGAAAAAAAAAGATTTTTTTGAAATGTCACACTAGTTGTGCCCCTTAATTCCCTTGCAGAGCAAAGGGTATTATAATTTTAGTGAGAAGTTTGCAACGCAGTGAAGGAGACATCTCAGACCCCATAAAGTATATATACAATTTTTCGCATGAAGATTTTTTTTTATAATTTTCCCATTCTTATTCAAAAAAACCACTTTGACGGGTTTTGATTGAAAAGAAATTTTTCAGTGTACATAAATCTAGTTTGAACTCCAAAACCACATCCCCAATTTTATTTAAATATGCCAACAGAAAAAAAAGGAAGATCCATGTTCTTCTAGAATCTAGATCGTCTAGTGAGAATGAAATAATTGTGGTAGAGGGTTGTTGTATAGACAATTATATCCAGACTATACCATTAAATTTAGAAATAGATGAAGTAAACCCCTTTACTCTAAGTAACAATGATAATGTAGGGGAGAGTGGTCCCATACCGACCGGTCGTACCATACCGACCCCCCATGTTTCTCAGAGATGGCGATGCTAGCCGAATTGTCGGTAACTTCAGTGAAAAGCTGTTATAACACAGACATTTTGGAGATACCTTCTGTCAAAAAAGTACCGGGACTGGATTAATTAAAACGCCTGTGCTAAACCGATTTCGGAAATTTTTTTTTTGTTATGTTGGTAACACTGTTCTGCATTACTAAGTAAAGTTTGATCGCGATCTGTGAAGTAGTTTGTTTACAGTCGCTGGTTACGTCAGTCTATGTTCTGATTGCTTGCCGAATTTTATAATGAACAACTATATTGAACAAAGAATTTGTCTTAAATTTTGTGTTGCGAACAAAATTTCTTGTACTGACGCGTTAAAAATGTTGCAGAAGGCTTATGGTGATGCAGTTTTATCGAGAACACGTGCTTTTGAGTGGTACAAAGCATTCCAAGAGGGTCGTGAGATTGTCGAAGACATGCCTCGTTCGGGACGACCATCCACCTCTCTCACCGACACTAACATCGATACAGTGAAGGAATTTATTTTTGAAAATCATCATGTCAGCTTACGAGAGATAGCACAAGTCCTGAACATCTCTCACGAGTCAATTCGTACCATTTTGACTGACCGTTTGGGTATGAAACGAGTCGCTGCACGGCTTGTTCCAAAAGAGCTGAATTTCGAGCTACCATTGTCAACGAATACAAGGTCAAAAACTCGATAAATACCATCGAACAAGCTCCGTATTCGCCAGATTTAGCTCCGTGCGACTTCTTTTTTTTCCTCGACTCAAGTTGCCGCTTCGTGGAACCCGTTTTAGCACCATTGAAGACATTAAACAAAATTCGGCACGGGAGTTGAAGGCTATCCCGGAAAACGCTTATAAAAAATGTTTCGAAGACTGGAAGAATCGCTGGCATATGTGTATTGCCTCTAATGGGGACTACTTTGAAGGCGACAAAATAAATTTGGATGAATAAATAGAAAATGTGAGTGTTATTAACCCAGTCCCGGTACTTTTTTGACAGAAGGTAGATAGCCAATTTGACTTCTTTTGTTTCACTGCAATTTTTCCGTTTGTTTTGTTTCAACGCCTGTGACATTCATTTTTTTTTCTTTTCTGAACTTGAGCTTAAATATTTTTAAAATTTTTTTTCTCCGCATAAAAATTGGAGGGTAAGGTTTTCTGATAGTTGATAGTCCTAGCTGTCATTTACGCTATTAGAATTACATCGCTCTTTGCGTCATTAGATAATGGCGAGCAGTTAATTAGAAAAGGTTGTGGTGGTCCGAAACCGACCGCGAAGTGATGGTCCGAAACCGACCCCCATTTATTGGCAGCTTAATATGTCATAGCGTATTTTTGAAAAAGTAAACAAGATTCAATAAAGAAAAGTAACAGAAACAGCAAAAACATCAGAAGAAAGCGAAGAGACAGTCATCAACGAGCGGCTTTCAAAAAACAACGCAAAAACAACGCGAAAACTTACTATGAGAAAGAGGACAACTCAGACTTCATCAATTGACTACAGTGCCCTTTATTTCATACATTAATTTTTATTTTCTGGAAATAACCTTCAATATATTTCTTAATAAACGTCAAAATCATTAAATTCTATTTTATGTTATTAAATTGCTTCTGTTAAGAAATAGGGGGTCGGTTTCGGACCACTACTTTTGAGTACGACCAAAAAGTGGAGTTTTATATTTGCCTGAATATCTAACGCTTCAAAGCACCTACCCACTTACTAATCAATTAGATGTATAGTAAACTGATCCCTCTACATAGTAAATTTTTGAACTGAACTGAAAAATTGATTTTTCTCACCTTTATCACCTTTGCCATTTAGGGGGTCGGTATCGGGCCACCCTCCCCTACTCATACACGTAGGGGGTGGTATAGATGATTTTATTCAAACCATACCATTAAATTTAGAAGAAGAAGATAAATAGAATGATTTCTATGAAAATAATTTAATTGTTTGTTCTATTAATATTACCATATTCTGGATTGTAATATTTATATTATACTTCACCTTAGATTTAAAAGGAAGCTAGCTAAGACAAAACACAATCTGGTAGAAATCAAATTTTTTCAATCTTCAATAAAAATGTGTTGTTTATTATTTTAAATAAAAATGTGTTTATTTAAAATTAAAATTACATTATTTTATTTACAATTAAATGGTACAATCCTGATTTTTTACAGTAAGGTAGTTTAAATTCTAATTATGTATAAATCTTGTCAAATGTACAATCATATTTATTTTTTTTTTAAGTTTTCAATTTTATTGTTTTTATAATTATTCCTATTAAGGCAATTCTCAATTTTTTTTATTCTTTGGTCCCAAACATAAATTTTAGAATCTATTACATTAAGGCAGGTTCTCACCTTGCAAACCCAAAAACGACACTTTTTAAAAAAAATTTTTTTGAGAAAACAGCTGAAGATAGATTACTTTGAGAAAAAAATTTGGAAATTAAAAAAATCAAAAAAGCGGCGGGAGGGGGCGTCTTTCAGGTGTCCCGCTAGCGAAAGTGATTCAGCGAAAACGGGTAATCGGAAACACAAAAACCGAAAAGATTCTTAAAGTGTACAGTATTGTGCACAAAATAAACTGGGATCAGGAAAAAAAAATTAAAATTACAAAAGTTATTTGCTTTAAAAAAATTACGATTTTTCGCGTTTTTTTCCACTAATTATTTTCTTAAATAAGCAGTTTTCAAAATTTTTGGATAATCCTAGTTCATTTGTTAAAAGAAACTATAAGGAACATTTAAAAAAAAATTGTGTGACGATTGGTTTATCCCAACGCTTCCAATCGATTCCGTAAGGTCCTTAAGCTCTTGTAATTTTTCAAATTTGAATCTGAAATTTGTTCAGCACATTTTTGAAACATTTTTTCATTATTTATTTATGTTTTACTTTGTGTATTTCTGACTGAGAACCAATTTATTACATATAAAAGTTGAAAAAAATGATTTTTAGATATAAACATTGTTAACTGCAATTTCTTCTTCCAAAAACAAACATTTTTTAAAGTTATTAAAAGCAAATTGATCCATAGCACTTGTTTTGATTTTTTCACTGTTTGTTTTCAGTCATACCAATATCATTAGAAAATTTGAGTGCATACATTGTTGATCACAAGGCAACAAATTCAAGCATAGGTTTCCCGATCTTTCAAAAAAATTAAAATTTTTTTTATTGGCTTTGTGAAAATTATAATACATATATATGTAATATAGTTCTATTGAATAAGATATTGATTATAAAGTTAGACATATAACAACTTTTCGACTGATTTTTGTATACTCGGGACTTGATTAATTAGAATATTCTGCAAGTGGCAACTTTTTGCGACTTCACGACTTGACTGCTTCTTTTCGACTCCGCGGTTCTTTTCCTTTATTAATAATAAATGGAAATGGTCCAAAAACAAATCCACCATAAAATACGAAAAGTATTATAAATTATATTTTGTATAATACTATATTTAGTATTTCCATAAACTTAGATATAAGTAAGGGGTTAAGAGGAAATGAGTTTGATACCATTCCGATTTTAAAAAAGTTCAAATTGAAATTCGAAACACCATCTGGAAGAAATCAAGTCGCTACGAGCAAATCCAACGGAGTGATAATGTTGTTTTTCAATCTCTCGTATGGGAGCTATCCAAAAAAGTCGTCCGATCCGACTTACATATATACTGCACGATCGATTCAGATCGTGATGCTGATCAAGAATATGGTGTCTGAGGTGAAATAGGGTATTCTAATTTTCTGCAAGGGTAAAAATAGAATACTTTTGTGACCAGAGGAAGAAGCTAGCTTTATTTTCGAATTTGAAAAAAATGTTTAATCAACTTTATCGTTGCAAAAGTCATGTGTTTATTTGTGAAGTACCTCGCAACGAATACTTTTGTGATTGACTGCAAAGTGACGTAGAAAGTGGTATGATGTAGAATGTATAGCTATGTATAGTAGAATCCCGATTATCCGCACATCGATTATCCGGACTCATTCGTTCGTCAAAAATCTATTTTCCAACAAAAATTTTAAATTACATACATATGTAGGTGTTATGTAATTCATTATCTATCGTTATAGCTTAGTTTTTATATATCGTATTATCTAATTAAAACCTATTCCATAATTATTAAAAATCTTAAATATTATTTGTTCAGCTTTGAAATCGGTTATCCGGATTTTCGATTATACGGAATTCCCCTGGTTTTAATTGATCCGGATAATCGGGATTCTACTGTATGTTCAATTGAACAAACAGACAGTGACCGAAACGATAAGTATTTTTAAGGATACCAATTTAGTACGTTATCGGTAACGGTATTAACGGAATAATGCGCCGACGCAGTGGTGGCCACACTTATAAGCGCCTGCAAACGTGTTGGATGCGACGCATCGCGCACTCCGTTTCGAAAGCCCGGCGATGTGTTACCCTCGACCGTTGATTTTGAGGCGGTAAACCGAGGCGGAAAAATCGATTGTGCCCGTGAGATTATTTTTGTTTTGGTCCGTGGCCTCTCGCCCCCGTAATCCCGCGCGGCCTCGGCCACATGACTCATGCCAGGCAGCAACAATGAAAAACCACAATAAGTACATCAAGCTGCCGCAAGACCTCGATCTGAGTTTCCACAGCGACTTGGACCTGCTGCCGGACACGGCTGCCGACATCGACGTAGAGCTAGACGCGGATGCGGCCACCCTCAGTGTGAACGTGCCCCCGGCTCTGGGCCTGGACGAGGACTACGACGACGACGAGCTAATCATCGCCCACGGCGGCGGAGGGCTTCGACTAGCTCCCACGGCGGCGGAAGCAGAGGAGAGCCGCAAGCAGGAGCAGCGCGGACAGCGGAAGCAGCAACTGGAGCCACAGCAGGTCCTGTCAAGGAGCAAGATCTGCGGCCTGGGCAGCGACAGCATCATCGAGGTGAGTGCCCGAAACCGGGGGCAGATCTGGTCGACGGTTTTTGGGAGAGAAGCCTCTGGAACTGCCAAAACAATTGAGAACTGTTTTTTTTTTTTAATGTTGGGGTATTATGTACAAACCATCGGAGTACTGAATCTGCGCCAGCAACTTGTGGCTGGTGGGGATTGCAAGCCCCGAAAACATTCCGCGAAGTCCAGGGCACAACAAAGCAAAACAAAGGGGCGGGTTGGCAGCCAACGAAGAAGCGAAAAAATCGATAAGCGACAAGCAAACATTCTGCCATTTGTGGCAATCCCCGTGAGCCGCTTGCACGGATTTTTCCTTCGAAACCCCTGTTGATTTTTAATCGGCGAGTGGGAGGGCACATGACAAGGGCTGGGCAGGTGGGGCATGAACAAGACGGATTTGTTGAGCGGAAGTGTTCTCTAATGCTTATGCGGTACGATATTAATGGAACTTGTGTTGACACTTCGTGACCGCTTTCCGAAGATAGGACCAGGTCGCAATCTAGTCCCAAGTAGGACAGTGTCCTAGAAAGCCTCGAAAGACCAAGGGAAACCGACCGAAAAATCTATAATTCCGCCCCCACAAGTAGTTAAAAATTCAACTCGGCGCACCAACTGTCAGTGGCGTGGTTCGCCATCGGGGGCGGTCTGTGGGGTTTTCAATCAATAATGCGTCAGACCCGTGTCAATCATAGCACTGCCCCCCCACTGACGATAAAAGAAGCATAGTTAATTGTGTCACGTTGTAGGTGCATTTTCCACACCTCATCTGTTGTCGCAATTAAATTGTTGCAATACTTCTGTTTCGATTGGAAAGCTTCGACAATCTTGTCAATCTTGTTGGAGCTTATTCTGAGTGCTTGGCCAGTTACAGCGCTGGAAAAATAAAATACCACTTTTAGCTGGGCAACAGGGAATGGGTTATCCTTTAAGGAAAGTTTCATGACAAACCACCAAATAAGTCGTTCAAATTCTTTGGGCTTGAAAATAATAAATTGGGCTTCAATAATTTTGAAACTTGAAACTCCAAACCCAGTTATGGTGCACCAGCAACAAGATATATAAAATTGTGGAAGGTTTACATGGACTTTAAATAAAATAATTTTTTTTGGAATCCACATAATGTAATGTTCTGTCACTTTTAAAATCTTGTAGATCTTGTTGTATATATACTTATATTTATCTTATTTTTAAAACTGAAACCATTTATTGCTAAAAGTTTTGGCAAGCATTGCCAATTTACCTGAAAGAAATCCCCTTGAACTTTTGGGGGAGTGTTTAATGTTTTCTTCTCTTCCCACCGGTTACTCAGTTTCAAAACTCAGATAACTAGGCAGTCCTCAGTATACATTAAGGATCTTATTTTAGGGCAGCTTTGCCCTCCATTCACGTCTACAGCCAATTAAAGCGAATTCTCGGTCATACGCCTCGTGCACCTCATTATGGTGTGCTTTTAGCCACCCAGGTCACTGCAATCTAAGCTAACCTAGATTTATTCACTCGCAGTTGTTTCTTCAACAACACAGTATACGCCATGTGGGTTGAGCAGGAGTGTTTGAGGTTAGGAAAAAAATTTTTGAATAGGTAGGTAGTAGGTGTATGTTTCGAACAGGTACAATGACCCAGCTTTTAAATGCTCATTAGAATCTATTTAAGTTAACTATATGTGCGGTAAATATTTAAGGTTAATCAGATTATAAAAAATCAGATTATAAAAAAAATCCATTTAAAAACAACCTCAATTCCTTATTAGCTATTTTGATATGATAACGTTGATAACGTCGTTGTTTTCTATCACACGACCATGATTTTTTAAGTACATATCAAGTTTTTTAGCTAGCCTGGAATTATGAAAAAAATTAAATAAAAATCTGATAAGTATATCATATAGCTCCCATAGGAAAGATCGAAAATTATATGTATATAAAAGGGAATAAAAAAGATGACGTCGTTGTTTTGTATCATGTATTATGTATTTTAAGAGTATATAAGCTTCGGCTTGCCGAATCTAGCTTCCTTTCTTGTCAAACATACCATAGTCTACAACTTGGTACAAAGTTAGTTATCCATATTTTTAACATTAATAAATAAAAAAATTATTCTTATACTGAATCAAGCTCTGTGACACTGATCATGTTGGTAATCGTTAAAATAGGCACTTTTACACCTACATACGTATCTGCTAAATAGTTTTTACACTGATATATGTCTGCAGAATGCGGACACGAATAGTTTAATTCTTCTGCAGTTCGTAGGAGCAGCACTCTGTTGCATTTCTTCTTTTGAACCGCTGACATGCAAATTTATGCATAAAGTGCGGTGGTACAAATGAATTTATAGCACGGCCAGGGAAATTTATCATCCTGCCCGCACACTTTGCGAGGGTATCCAACACAATTCCGCATTACCCGTTTCCCAAACTTCCTGCACAAATGGAAGCTGGCAAAATGACGGCCAACATTTAAGAGCATTTATTATAATCATAAAATACAAACTGCATTATTATGCATTGTCGTTCCTCCGAGCGTGTCATGCTGAAAAGATATGAAAAGGGAGAGGACGGTGGCCAGGAAGTTAGTGAAGCCTCAGAGTCTCCACCGGAATACTTTTGTGCGATTACACGGAACGACAAAGTGTAACGTTTTGAGCAACCCAACAATGTTTCAACTATCGATGATATTTAAGTAGCTTTTTATCAGGGATTTCCCGGAGCCCTTATTCATTATAATAATTCACACAATTGCGTGGTTTGATTCCGTTCTTACGGTGATTAAGCTATACAATATATTTATTATACAGACAAGAACACAAATTTTCGCTTTTCGTGGGGAATAGATTTCCGGTTTAATTAAAGGAGCAGACATACCTTATCTCATTGCCCTGCGAAAATAGAGGTTTCTAAAGTTTAAGCTGGCACTCCGCATTTGCCTGTGCAAATATAATTTGCACTTTTAATTGCCGCACAGAGGGTGCGGCATGCTACGGGCGTCGACTCAAAGTTTCCCTAAAAATGGTAAACTCCGCCTTTGATGCTGTCCGCGGAATGCAATTTTTGCCATAAATGTTTGCGCTAAAATGCGAACTTTACTCGTGGCTCATAAAAATGCAGACCCTACCCCGAAGACTTCCATTACAGGTTTTTCGCATAGCCGACATCCAAATGCTTTTAGGGAATTCCCCCGCTGGCTTGCTTGGTCTGCGATTATTTCGCAGCGTTAAGCATATCTATTGTGACCTGTGCCCCGAGCAGAGCAAATAGTTGTCAGTGTCCCGAAAAGTATTTTAATGGTTATTTGATAACAACATTCGAAAGTCAGTGCAGAGGGTTTAATTGGGACAGCGCATCATTTGTTCCACATTTAAGAACAGGAAAGTTCGGAAACATACAAAGCCATTTTTATTTATCCCCAAAACTGTTTTGCCACCCACGAAGTTTACAAATTGAATTAATTGCGTGCAAAATTTCAAAAAGCGAAAGAACACAAAACCACTAACCGTTGGTTGGCTTTCCTTCCTGGTTGGCTTCTTCCTCTCCCCTTTTCGGTTGGCGTCGCTCCTTTGAAAAGCCATAGAAAAATTAGCTTCGAGGGTTCTTGGCATGAACAGCATCCGGATTAAAATCGTTGTCATGAAAATTATATTGAATCAAGGCTTCCGAGCATCGGGATGCAGAGGTAAAAAAGGGCCCACAAAAGCGTTGTTTTGTTAGGAGACATATAGGATTTGCATAACAACAATGCGGAAACGACTTCAAATTTAACTGAAACCAACGACGGATTCAAAAAAATTATATATATTGGTTTTGCATTCTTCTCAGAAAAATAATTTACATCTTTAAATGATGCAGATTTCGAAAGCTGAGATTAGCACCTCCTCATTGTTTAAGCTAAAGCAAATTACATTGCACTTGATTTTGACTTTGGCTGGTAAACACGCAAAAATTGTCATTTTACAGCCATAAGCTAAACGAGGTGATGATTATGGCCCGATTTTTTTTAGAAAAACTTCATAGAAAAATCGTTATAGCTTCGATGTTGTTTAGCCTCTATGTATTTCGACATATTTGAGGGCTGCAAGGGTATTCCTTTCGCTTCCTTTCTTGTTTTATATCAAATAGTTGTAATTAAGACAATACTTTGTCCAGATTGTCGCAAGTTGTATCCCGAGAAGCTGTCTAACATTTCATTAATATTGGCTTAGTACTTCTCGAAAAATCTTGACAAAGGACTTTAAAAACACAGTTTGGAGAAAAACACGCTTAAAGTTTTGAGCGCTTAACTGGAGCGCGTACCTTCTTTTGTCTTCAGACATATAACTTTAAAACTATTGCTGGGATGGACTTGAAATTGTAGGAGAATATTCTAGACCTGTTGTAAAACTTAAGAACTTTTGTCTTCAACTGTTGCTGGAGGGACTTGAAATTGTAGGAAAATTTTTTAGATCTGTTGTAAAATTTAAGAACTTTTGTCTTCAAATATTGCTTGGATGGACTTTAAATTGTAGGAAAATATTCTAGACCTGTTGTAAAATTTAAGAACACAAAAACAATTAAACAAGATTTTTGGATCCCATCCCATCTAACTCATTAAATATCAAAATAGTTAATAGAACATTTTGAAGAAATTTAAAATGTGAGTGAAGTTTGTTATGCATTTTTGTTCAAAATCAACTTTATGTTGGGACTTTTAAATAGGCGGTAGGCTTGGTAGTGACAAGACCTAGCTGCAAAAGACTAATGGAAGAGCATGTTTTCACAGCACAGTTTTGGTATACAAATTTGTAGTTGTCCATAAAAATGATAGACAAACCATATTTAATCGGAAACCCCCAAGTCGGCTTTAAAACTGCTACAGAAACGCAGGCGTACAATGTGCAGATATGTATTTATTTTATTTTACATTTTTACTCTTATAAATGGTTTTCAAATTAAAATGTAGGTATCGTAAAAATGGATATTTTTAGATGAGCTCCACATATCTTTGGTAAGAGCTCAAG